TGTCCAATTAGTAGCAGTCATACTTTTTCTAAAAGTATCAATCAGTTTAAGAAACAGCAGCTGCTACAAAAGCCGTCTCATTTAGCTGTTAGTGTGGAAGGATCATATCCTACTTATAACTTCATAGTTAACATAGTTTTGGCAGAAAGTAGATACTCAGTTAAGTTAATGCTTGAGTGGATCACTTTGAACTTCCAATTCAAAACTGATCAGTATAGTGTCCATGAATGTTACTTCAGTGAATAACATAGATTATGATAGAAAAGCAGACCCTAATCAAGTGGTGAGGATTTAGAGCCTGGGAGAAACATGGGTATGCGGGAGACTCATACAGGGGAACAAATAGGTAGTGTGGTTCCCTGTGGGGAAGGATCTGTGGTTCACTAGTTCACCTGGAAGATGTATAACTGAAATGGAGAAAAGGACACCACTCATAATTTCAGTCCTGAGGACATTGGCAGAAAGACTGTGAACTCTTATCATCAGGCCCTAAGATGGTTAGAGATGGCTGTAAAGTGGGTGTGGGCTTGGGATTCTGGCAAACAGGATCATGCCACAAAAGTTCCTTCAATAAATATACCAGGAGAATATTAAACCCAAGGTTTTATTAGTATAGAATTATTTTATAAGATATAACTAGAGTTTGAAAGATTCATAATGAAATAGTTGAAATTAAGATATGCCACTATCTATAGAAATAGTGAAAATAGTTATGATAACACCTAATGTATATTAAGTATTTGTAGAGTCCCCATTATGTGAAGGCAGTAAAATAGATGCTCTTTAGTTATGCTTTACTAATCGGAAAATGTGGCTTCAAAAGTATGTTAAACTGCCTACATTCATGTATTACCTGAATTGTAAGTGGTATGCCTGAATGACTAAGAAAGCCATACTGTCCAGGCCTAGCTTTCATTTCACTTGAGATTTAAAATAAATGCCTCCATGTCAGAAATTATTATTCTGTTGATTATTATTCTGTTGATCTGGTTTGGGACTCAGTGCTATTTGTATGTATATATATTTTTAATCAAATTGTCTTGTCATTTCAATATGTGGTCAAATCTGAGAACCATCAGAACTATGGAGTACTTAGGTCTGCCTAGCAATCATGCATTATTGATACAAAGAAAAGGTGATGATTGTGCAGTGATTCTGTATGCATTGTCCTTATTTATGAATATCATATTTACCTTGCTGATCCTCTCTACACATTTACTGGCCACTTTCTCCTGGAATATTTCTGCATATACAAATAGGCTGGCTGGTAAAAGGAGCCTTATATTTTGCCTCAGAAAGTGTATTTATGTTTTGATAATAGCACTATTATAAGGGCTTTGCTATTATAATTCTTTAAAATAATTTTTAAATTAGTATTGTATTTTCCTATTTTCTTTTCAGGTCTAGTAAATAGTCACTAAGTTGGTTAGGTTTAACTAAATGAATCATTTGATTCATTTCATATACTTAGAGATTAAGAAAGCTGTACAATTACTGTAGATGTGATTACGGTTTTGATTTTCCATATAGTCAGTACAATTACAGATGACAGGATTCTTATATACCTTGCTATATTTTTGCTAATATAATTAGTTTTCCCTCAATAATATGATTTATACTGCTTTCTAAAAATTACTTTAGTATCTTCTTAGAATAAAAACCTCACAAAAGAGATTATGTTATAGGTGTGGTTCTAGACCACAATAATAAAGTAAATATTACAGTGAAATAGGTCACATACATTTTAGGTTTCCTACTGCATATAAAAGTTAGATGTATATTATAGTGGGACATATCACATGCGGAATTGTAGAATGCCTAAAAATGCGATACATGACTTTAATCTAAAAGTACTTTATTGCTAACCAATACTAATGGTCACCTGAAATTTCAACGGGTCCTAATTGTACCAATTACTGGTCATGCCTTGATGAGAATGTTTGCTGGATTATCAGAGTGGCTTTTGCTGTAGGTTGGAGTTGCTGTGGCAGTTTCTCCTAATTAGACGATAATGAATGTAGCTGCATGGATTGGCTCATGTTGTCACTAAAGATTTCCCTGGAGAATGTAATGCTGATTGATAGCATTTTATTCACAGAACTTTCAAAATTGGAATCAATCCCTTCAACCTGCCATGGCTTTATCAACTAAGCATATGTAATATTCTAAATCCTTGTCAATTCAGCAGTGTTCATAACACCTTCACTAGGAGTGGAGTCTATTTCAAGAAATCACTTTCTTTACTCATCCATAAATCGAGCTGCTTATCTATTAACATTTTATCATGAGAAGGCAGCAATTCAGTCACATATTCAGGCTGCACTTGTATTTCTAGTTCTCCTGCTTTTTTACCATATCTGCAGTTACTTTCTCCGTTGAAGTCTTGACGACTGCCAAGTCATCCACGAAGGCTTCAATCAGCCTCTTCCAAACTCTTATTAATGTGAATGTTTTTACCTGCTCCTAGGACTCATAGATATTCTTAATGACATCTAGAATGCTGAATGCTTTCCAAAAGGTTTTAAATTTACTTTTACTAGATTCATCAAAGAAATCACTGTCTATGGCTGCTATAGCCTTACAAAATATATTCCTTAAGTAATATATCTTCAAAGTTGAAACTACTCCCTGATGCAAGGGCTGAGAATGAATTTCTATTTTCAGACATGAACACAATATTAATCTTACTGTATATCTCCCTCATAACTCTTAGGAGAGCATGTGCATTATAAAAAAGCAGTAATATTTTGAAATGTTTTTTCCTAGAACTCAACTGTGGACTTAAAATATTCATTAAAGCATGTTGTAAGCACATGTGTTGTTATACAGGCTCTGTTATCTCATCCACACACAGGAGGAATAGATCTACAATAATTTCATTCATGGTAGGATTTTTGGAGTGGTAAATTAGCACTGGCTAAAATTTTTTTTTGTCACTGGTTGCAGTAGCCTCAAATAAGAACCTACCTGTCCTTTGAAGTTTTGGCAGAAGACATTTACTTCTTCCTTGTCATGAAAGTCCCAGATGGCATGTTCTTCTGGTATAAGGCCTTTATTCTGTAGTGAAAATCTGCTATTTAGTTTTAATACCCTCGTTAACAATCTAAACCATATTGCTGGTTAGCTTGCTGTAGCTTCTACATCAACATTTCACGTTGTATTTTCATGCTATGGAGATGGCTTCTTTCCTTAACTTTCGTGAACCAACTTTTGCTAATGTCTAGTTTTATTCTGCAGTTTCTTCACTTCTCTCGGCCTTCATAGAGTTTACTAGTTAGGGCCTTATTCTGTATTAGTCTTGGATCTTAGGAAAGGAATACTGTGGGTGAGTTGATCTTTCATCAGACCAGGAACAGTTTCTCCATATCAACAATAAAGCTTTCCCTCCCTCCCTCCTTCCTTCTCTTCCTTCCCTCCCTTCCTTCCTTTCTTCTCTTGTCATCTGTGTCAGCTGGCTGAGTACTTTTAATTTCCTTCAAGATTTTTTTCTTTGGATTCATGAGTTGAATAACTATGCAAGGTGCATCGGTTTTGTTCTGTCTTTGCTTTCATGAATCCTTCCTCATGAATTTAATCATTCTTACCTGCTGTTTAAAGTGATAGGTGCATAACCCTTCTCTTACACACTTAGAGGCCACTGTAGGGTTCCTATCCAACCCAATTTCAATATTGTTGAGTCTGAGAAAACTGTAGATCCATAGAGAGTGAGTGTTTATGGAACAGCCAGTGAGTATATCAGTCAGAACATATATATTTATTGGTTAAGATCACAGTGAATTATAGTGGTAAAAACAAACATTGCTCATCACAGATCACCAAAACAGATATAATTTAAAATAGTAAAGCTTGAAAGATTTTGTATTTACTTTGCTCATGCGTGGGTTCTCCATATGCAGAATATGATTTAGAATAAATGACACCTATTAGAGCTTTAAAAATACATGAATGAATACAGATATGCCTCTATATGTCTAACACAATTTATTTTTTTTAATTTGAAATAACATTTTTACTCTCATGATAGTGAGGCACACCACTAAAATAAAAAGTAAATGAATATCACAAAGTAGGAAAATAGGCAGTGTTTAAAAGCAATAATAAATAAAAAGGTGCTCAATTTTGCTCATATAAAATAAATTTTCAAATAGTCATAAAATCTTTAAAAGTATAATTGAACACAGTTCTTATCAGCTTGTTTGACAAAGATTTAAAACAAAAGTTGGCAAAAACACTGTAAGGGAAATTTTAAAGAGTTGTAATGTGATGGATTGCTTCCTCTTCCTTTTGTAAAATCAAGCTGTTAAGTGATTTATCACAACATGTTGAGTGTCTAATCCTAACATGGCTCCCCTCCTGCATAGAAAGTTTATTTTTTATGGAAAAATTTTAGTTAAAGTTTACTTGGTGAGTGGAGAGGTGACATTACCAGTAAATAGCAGATGCAGATTCTAAATTTTATGATTTGAAAGGATTTTTGTGACTGTCATAGCATACCTTTAATAAGCATATTAATAAAATTAGTCTTGTGATCTTGGATTTAATATAAAAGTCATAGTTAATCATTTGGAAAATGTTACTTTGTTATTCAGGGGAAGTATTTTTAATAGCATGTTTATAGAAAATAGTATATAAGAATTAATGCAGTTTATTTTTTATATTGTCAGAAAGTTTACTGAAAAAGGACAATTGGCTATTACTATAAAAATGCTATGTTATGCTCCATTAGAATTCAGAAATGGAGTTTTTTCAAGTGATGCTTAATACGTACCATGAAGCTTAGAACTAGAGACACTTATAGAAAAGAGAAACGCTATTTATGTAAAATTTTGTCTCTTTCACATACTTTTTCCAAATGAAAATAGGAAATAAGGGATTTAAGGTAAGTACTAAGGGAAACTAATGATGATATTTATGTTGTAACTTAAAGTTAAATCTAGCAGAGTGTCAGCAGTTCCAATGATTTGGATATTTAAACACAGAACTCTTATTTTATTCTCCAGGATTCAGAATTTCCCACCAATATGCAACCAGAGCCAAACCTGAATTTAAATAAAGAAGATCTTCATCCAGTGAAATTTAACTACAAGCTGAGTAACATTTTTAGACTTCATGAACTTCCAGTGAGCCGGTAGGATTCTTAATGTTTTGGGTATTTTATTGACATGCCTAAATTGTAATGCTCTTATAGTTGCTCATGGTTGAAATAGTTTGCTGTTAGTCTCTTTCCAAATAACTATCCTGACCAGTGAAATAATCTGCTGATAGCTGTGGCTTACAGTTAATTGGTTTAGGCACTTGGTGGCAGCACACACTCAGGGCACTAGTGTGTGTTGCACTGTAGAGATTGGAGTTCTGGATTAAAATAATGCACAGATCATTTTTAGAGCCACTTCTGGGGTTATTTTAAAGGCAGGATCTCATCAACAATGAATTTGATTTGTTTGTTTCACTAACCAACTTTATCAGTGTACATTTTCATTAACCAATTTTCTCCATTGATTTATTTTTGTATCACTATAATTTGATGAACCATGATCACATTTGTTTGAGAAAAAGTCCTAATATTACATGGTGTTTATTAGAATGCATTGTTTTTGAGAGTATATATATTTACATTAATGTAAAATTTAATTTACAGTTTTATAAAATTTATGTTAACACCTTTGAGAGAAACATTTCTACAGGAAATCTGTATATATAAATCATTTAATTCATCAATATTTTGGTGAATGACAAGCTTATGTTGATAATCATGAATATACCATTTTATTATAGCTTAGGTAAGTAATTTTTCTTATGTTTGGTCATGTAATACCAAAAAAAAGGGTATATAACTTGTTTCGAGAAATCTATAATACTTGAAAAAGTGTGTGACAAATATTCTGATTGCTCCTAATATTATACTATTATGTGCATGATATTATACTAATATGCTATGGTTTCAGAATTAGCTGTCTATAATGATTTTGATATATTTTATTTGTGTTAATTGTTTTTTTAAATGTGCAAGATGTCTTCTGCTCTTAATGCAGATATTTTTTATTTACCACATTTGTAAATTAAATCTGTTTGATTTTTGTGGTAGAAAGCATATTGCCTATGGAATATTACTTAAGAGCATAGCAGAAATAATCTTACTTGTAGGGTGCAAAATCAATAGCTTAATGACCTGAAAAGACCTATTAGGGCATAATAAAAGTGGCTTCAACCAAGTACAATTACGTTAAACATCTGTTGATTGGAATTCCAAACAGTAGTGAATAAACTATGCCAATAATGCATTGCTTATAATCTTCATTCTTGATTTCTTTAATCTGAAGTTAGAACACAACAGGATCTCCCCATCATGTTTTGTGACATTAATTTTATTTTCATTGTCAGCAATTTTGTTTCCATACATCTGACCATTTTTTTTAAAAAAAATATTACAATATTAATTACAGCTTGCTTATAAAGGAGTTCAGGAAAAAAAAAATTCCTTTGACTCTGCCATTGTGGACCTTGACCAAGAATTAGCCTGTGTCAGCTTACCTGGAGAGTTTTATAAAGAAATGGCAAGTATTAGTCAATTCAACAGTGAAGTGAAGTTTAAGGGAAATGCTTCTAGAAAGAGTGAAGCAGTTCAAAGACAAAATCTGGATTTTAGCTGAAGTTATTTCCAAGCATTGAAAACACAGCTGCTCTGATTACCACTGTGACCAGGGAGTAATTTCTGGGCCATAATCTTCACTGGTTGGCTCATGAGGGAGAAAGAGTCTGTGTTCCGAATTAGGAAACAGAAAAGTGAATCAGTAGAAGAGATAATACTCCCAAATCTTTCAGTGCTGCATGCCTCAAAAGGTCATGTTGTGACTTTGGGACACTTCATTTATCTGTGTCTTGTCATGCCTGTATGCTTCATCTCCAGTTTATCTCCTTATATCATTGTTTCATCTTTGCCATGTGTTTGTATCTCTCCCACCTGTGTTTTTCTACTGCATGTTTTCTGTATGTTCTCATTTATCAAGTGCAACAAAATTTTCAGTGTCTCAGAATTTTACTATACTATTATTATTATTTTTAAATTGGATTGATCATATATGCACAAACACACAGACGTTATACTTTATAGAGTATATATATATTTATTATATATGTATATATAATAAAATGCTTATTGACTCAGTGATAAGCTTCTTTAAGGAAGAAAAGACATTTTTTAAGTGACCATGCAGTTTTACTTATTTCTGGCTGATTCTCAACTGCCATCACTAGAAAGTTATTCAGACACAGTGTATAGTTCACTCACTTCATTAATATAGGAGCATTCCACTAGCCTAGTAGATAACACACTCGTCGGGCGTTCACATCTTGCCTCACGGTGCCTGGGTTAGAGTCTCAGCTCTAGGACTCTGCTTCCATTTCCAGGTTCTTGCTGACGTGCATTGTGAGGGGCTGCAGGTGGTGAATCAAGTAGCTAGGCAAGTGCCATCCTGTTGGGAGCTCCAGTTCCAGCCACCTGGTTTCTTCTTGGTCCGATCCTGGAAGATACAGGCATGTCGGAAGTGAATCAGCTGCTGGAAGATCTGTTCTGTCTCACTCAGATAAACAGTAACAGTAATAATAACAATACGGAAAAGAATATCACCTATAATGGTGGAAATAATATTCTATTAAGAAGATGTAAGTGCCAGTATTCACCTGCTTTAATACACACCATCTTTGACTTTTGTTATTTCTGAAAGGCAGTAAATTCTGCATCTGTTTTCCCATCTGTCTCTCTTACATGAATTTTTCTCCAAATTTACATGACTTGGATATCTTGGGGATCATAAATAGGGTTTGTATCAGATTGGATTAACTGAAAGCACACCATAAAACACTGAGTAAATCATATATTATTTTAAAGGAAAATGCTGAGGGCATAATTTCTATTTTGACACTTGGGGATACAGTTTTATCAGTAACATGACCTATGATTTAGACTCAAAACCCCTTTCTTTCCCTCTGATAAGTGAACTCTAAGATAATTGCTTTAAACCTAAGCAGTAAAATAATTAAGTTATATTAAGTGTAGAATTAGCTAATTATATGTTCTTTCTCTGAAAATAGCAGGGTTTTTATCAAAATATAATTTTACTATGTTTTTAAAGCAAGGTCATAATAAAATAAATGTGTATTAAGATCCAGATAATATTTAAAATTCTTAATGTCTTGCTCATTTGCATTTTTATGGAGTGCAATTTCATAGGTCAAGGAACTAGAGGGTTTTGAGATAGATTAGAGTTTTCAAGTCCTGATGCAGGTGAGTGTCTGCTGCCCTTACTAGATGACTCTCATCAGCCTAGGAAGCATCCTTCAGTTACTTGCATTAATTAAAATCCAAAGATTCCTGGAAAACTCACCACAAAATTGTTGCCGTTTCCTGATACTCGGCTAGTTTTCACTACATCAGTTGGCAAAGGGCTGGCTGAAGTAACAGCTCTTCCGTTGGTCCATGGAGCGACTGCCTGCCTTTCCTCCCCTCTGAAACTACTCATCACTGTCAGAAAGCGCATCCCACATCCACTACAGCTTGTCACCTCTCTGGTGCTCCTCATATCTTAAGCTGCAGTTAATCCAATCAGTATTCCCCCAACCCCCTCCAACACGCACACTCTAACTATTTAAAACAGGCCTGGTTTTCCTGCAGGTCCACATGTCATGCCATCTAATTACCTCTCCTCAAGTGGCCCCTTCCATCCTCAAGTTTTGAGTAGCTCTTTGTGTTCTGGTCTTCTGTACGTTGGCATCTCGCCTGAGGTAGAAGATGTAACAGGCTTTTCGAAATTATCACATTCAAAAAAGAACTTTTGTTTAACTGCAGCAAATCTAGTAATGTTGTCAACATCTTTGTTCCAGAAAAGCACTGAGCTGTGAACTGAGTCAAAGTAAAAACCTGAGAATCATTTTGATTCCTTATTTTGTCACTTACGAATCTCACCATTAAATTAACCTGAAAGTCTGATTAGTTCCTTCTCCAGAATATTTTTAATTCTCTTTTTAAATAATATTTTGGTATTATTTAATTTGCTTCAAAATCCTATTAATTCACCCTACCTTGCTTCACAATATTTATGTATCTAATAGTAGCCAAACATGTATTTTTTTAAAAGAAAATTATGCAGTGAAAAGCCCGCCTGCAGAATGGGGTGAGGGGGAGAAAGAGATTTGAAAGCTATACATTTGACCAGGGGTTTATATCCTCAATATGTAAGAAATATGAACAGCTCAATAGCAAAAAATAAATGAACAAAAAATCATCAGAATAATCTGATTGTTAAAAGGCACTGTCTCCTGCAGTTAATTTGTCTATTTCAGTGAAAATTAACAAAGGCAGTGATTCTCAATAACAGCATCTGATCCCCAGGGTTCCTTCCCCTGCACCTGCAGTGGCTGCAAGCAGGGTCCCGGGCTAAGGCTGCAGCTCAGTGCAAAAGTAGGCCAGGTCACAGGGCTCCAGCCGTGCTGGGCTTCAGGGCTGGTGGCCGCATCCTGGGGCAACCTGTCTGGTCTCTTGAATAAAGGTCGAAGCTGGATTCTCAAAAAAAACCAAAATGAAATGAAACAAAACAAAACAAATACACAAAGGCAGTGATTCTTTTAACATGTGCAATGGGATTCTCTGCTGTCAAAGCCAGAATCAGAGGCACGTGTTGTGGTGTGGCGGGTAAAGTTGTTGCTGTCTGCAATGGCAGTATCCTTTATAGGTGCCAATTCACTTCTGACTACCCTACTTTTGATTCAGCTGCCTGTAATGGCCTGAGAAAAGTAGCAAAAGATGGGCCAAATTTTGGGGCGTCTACCACACACAGGAGGCTTGAATGAATCTGTTGGCTTTGGCCTGGCCCAGCACTGGTTGTTGTGGCCATCTGGGGAACGAGACAGTAAATAGAAATCTCCTTCTCTCTCTCTCTCTCTCTCTTCCTTTCTCTCTGTAACTCGAATTACAAAATAAATAAAAAATCTTTAAGGAAAAAAATCCTAGAATCCAAGGATCTGAAAGCTCTCAGCTACTTGTTTGAAGAATGGATTTATGACCATCTGTTGCTTGAAGACTTGTAATGGCTTTAGTTTCATAGGCTAGGGTGGTGTATTTTGTGAAACTGG